TGGACTGGCTGGTGCGCCAATATAACAAGAATGTGTAGTGTAGCAATAGGGTAAACTCTAAAATGTACCTTGATACACCAACGAACTAATATGTGGAATAACAGAAGATGAAAGGGATTAGATAGAAATAATTTATGTGAAGGAAATAAATAAAGGGTAAATATGAATTTTAAAATATAATAAAATTAATGCTGGCTAGCGACTATGCAGGAGAATGACCACTTGACACTCAAAGAGGGATTCGGCCAATTTGCATGCCCTACCGAGACCGTAAGATGTAAGAATTAATGACTAGAAACTACCAAGAAATAAACAGAAGAAAGATAAAGTTGCTCTACTGAATGTTTGGGCGCCAGGAAGTTGAATGTTTTCTTCCAAGATATCTTGTATTGCTGAAATAATAAAAGTTGGGTACTAATTGAAATATTAAATTTTAATCAAAACTTTAATAATTACCCAAAATTTATGTACAGACTATGTTAAATACTTATCTATGACCCACCACCTCTTATGTACAATTAACTTATCTATATTTACAGTGTAACGTTCCAACGAACATTCCTTGGACGTCAATCTATGACGTGCCAACAAATATTCATTGGGTGCCAATTTGTAACCCTTCGAGGCTCAATTTGTAACATCCCAACGTTGAGCTGCTGTTGTCAACCTGTACCCGCAAACCCTAGTTTGCTGCTACAACCTGACTAACATCACTAACAACGTTGGAGTGACAAATCGTTTCTCGTTGGGACCAATTTTTAACGTCATAACCCCTAATGTATCAATTACAAAATTGCTACATTAGACGTTATACGAAACACTCCCTGGCTAGCTCACTCAGGACGTGAATATGGCCTACTCTGGAGCAACACACACAAACAAGTAAAAAGAAGAAACAATACACAGTTAAGTTAACACATGTTTATTAAAATATAAAAAAAAACAGAAAAATAAATGTTAAGTATCGTATTGAATTTAAATAAAAATTATTCGACTTCTTGCTACAGTGTTACATTAGGTATATGAAAGAACAATTTTTGTCACCAAATCCTAAGTTTTATCCTGGTCTTTTCTGCTCTGGTTGTTATCAAGCCATGTTGGTAGTTTTGGATTTCCTTGTCTCGGAGTCAACTCTCCTATTGGAATAATGGTTCCATTCTCAGGCCGGTTGGTCTTCTGGATGGTAATAGAATTTGACCCGCACCTGAGAAATGTATCCCGGAGGTTGACTAAAATGAAGAAAAACACACCTTGCTTTAGAAAATGGTGAAACCAAAATGAGAGACCTTGCTTGGGGGATGAATAAGGTGACCAATCAAATTTAACAAAATTTTATCATTATTCACCCAAGCAAGTCGAGAAACAATTCTTATTTATGTGCTTATCACAGCATTAATAAGTAAAAGTAAGGATATATCTTTAATACAAATGGTAATTACTTTTTTAAAACTGAAATATTCTAATATTAATAAAAAAAAACCAAGATATATTTATTGAAAAGCTAGATAATTTAGAAACATTAATATATAGAAATGATAGTTTGTCAAAAGTTAATTATTATTAAAATCAAAAGATATTATTGATTTAAAATTCATATTTAAAACTATAAAAATATTCGTAAAACTTTTACATACTATATTAAAGAAACTATATATTTCTTATCGCTAGTTTTTTATATTAAATAAAAAACATAAGAAAAAATATATCCACAAAATATGTTATCTACTTACATGTCATTCACAAATAATGAGCTTCGAATTTTTAAAGTTAAAATTATAAAAAGATTTTTATACAACAGGTGGAATTAGGAAATCGATAAAATATATTATACACTTACCTCCAAATCTGGAGACGACACAACAATTGATTATTCTATTCTTAGAGAAGTCATGAATAAAATCGACATTTTCAGAAATAAAAGCCATTTATATCGACTTTTGTATCGAACGGGAAGGAGAAATGTCACAGAGAATAAAGATGGGACCTCTCGTTCCAAAGTAACGGAAATAGAGATGAAAATAAAATTCACTCTTTAGAAACTTGAGTAAAAGATAAAAATGATGATTATTAAGAAAATAGGAAAGGTAGATACTAAAATATATATATAAAGAAGATAGATTTGGACGCCAACTGGTTTTTATACCAAATACCAGTAAAAATGAAAAGAGAATAATGAATCAATTAAGTAACGACATAATTCTGATACAATCTATATCCTAGAAAATATATAGAAAAATAAGAGATACAATGGAGGATATAGAAGAATATGAATTATGACAGAAGATACGGAAATTGGAGAATAGAATTAACGAAATATATTAACATAAGAAAGAAAGCAGGCAATGTAGCAGTTATAACGCTACAACAGTAAAATCCCTGAATACAATTATAAAACAATTTCCCCCGAATGTACTTCTTAATTTTAAATGTTGACAAAGGTTATACTCAATAATAATGTATAAATAATAAATATAAAAAAAATACTACTCACTAATAATTTAGTTTTCGTTAATCAAATGTTTAAATTTTCAAATGAAATGAAACTCTCCGGATACGTGTGCACACAATAACCTGACAAAAAGAGATTCAAGGGAGAGTTAAAACCTCATCCCTTGGTAGACAATAGATAATTAAATTAAGTTACAATGACTATTATTTTAGAAAAATTGAATGGATTTATTATTAAAGATATATATTTAAATTAAAGTAAAGCAAAAGTTAAAACCTTGAAGAGGATGTTGCAAAAAAGTTATAAAAAATATTGGAATGACAAACAAAAAACAAAATAAGTTCTTCCTGCCGGTTTCCGTAGGTTGCCCTGGAAGATGATCCGGTGAAGAACTAGACTCCAGTGGGTAAAAGTACACCAAACCTGGATTCCATGTATATATAAACAAAATCTTCTTTAAATCCCCATATAACTTAAAATTTCTTCCCCTTCTCCTTAATAAATATAACCCCAAAACTAAAGGTTTCTTCCCTGACTTGTGACTGGATTCCGGAAGTTGGCGGCTGAGGTGGTCCAAAACTTAAAGTATCCTCGTACAAAACACCCAAAATAACTTAAATTGTTGTCCTTAAATCAACGGTTCTTCATAAAAATAAATAAACTTAAACTAAATTCCTTAAAAATGGCACCTCCCAGCCGCCACTATGATCGATCGATCTGTCTTCGATCACACCCAGTCAACAAGTCATTCTATTAACACTTACAAGTCGTCAAGTCGACGTACTTTCAGAATCTTACACCAGAGGGCGGGATTTAATGCCAACCTTAGAAAGTAAAATTTACTGGGAGTTATTTAAATATTCAGTTTAAGAATATTTCAAATATGAATTTAATTCAGAATTAAATTAAAAGACTCCAGTCACAAAAAAAAGGTAAACGGTTATTTAAGTAACGCACTTACTCGCAAAAAAGGTAAACGGTTATTTAAGTAACGCACTCGTTACAAATCAAAGACTGCTCTCAATCAATACCGCAAACATAAAAGTCCTGAAAATCTAATTAAGTATAAAAAGCTGAAAGCCAAAGCTAAATACGTTTTCAAGCTGAGCAAGAAAACATCCTGGCATAACTATGTATCGTCTTTGAATGATACCAAAATCCCTCCCAAATGTGGAAAAAAATTCGACAAGTTCAGGGACAAAAAACTAACACAAAAATTAACCATTTAATCTCTAACAGCATTTCTTCTAGCAACAGCCTAATTATTTGCAATACCCTAGCTAATACGTTTGAGGAACAATTTCACAACAAACTCAAACCCGTTATTTCATCCTCTACATAAGAACCGCTCTCCTACAACCTCACTTCACAGCACTTACAAGATATCGACAATATTAATTCTCCTTTCTCACTTTCTGAACTTACATCTGCTTTATCTTCATGCAAAAATACTTCCGCCGGCCCTGATGATATCCCTTATATTTTTCTTAAAAACCTACCCAACCGCTGCCTCACTTTTCTGTTAGACATGTATAATTCTATCTGGTCTTCTCAAATATTTCCCACTCAATGGAACACATCCGTAATTATACCTGTCCTAAAACATGGCCAAACACCAATCTTTCCTCAGTTATATAGACCTATTTCTCTCACTTGCACCATGTGCAAATTAATGGAGAAGATGATAAACAGGCGTCTTTTATGGTCTATTGAAAAACACCAAATTTTACCTAAAGAACAATCTGGTTTTCGCCAACATCGTTCCACAAGCGATAACCCCGTCCTCCTTCATACGCACTTTCTTAGCTCTAGATCTTTTAGAGTCTCTGTAAATGGTTGCCTATCATCACCCCACATCCAACAAGACGGAGTCCCTTAGGGATCTGTATTAAGCCCCACATTGTTTATTTTATCGATTAACCATATATGCCACAGTCTTCCCTCCCCAGTCAAATTTACTACATATGCTGATGACCTTGTAATTTATTGCCATGGTGTTGCGACCACTACTACTTGCAAACTTCTCCAAACATCAGTGGACTTACTACACAATAGATTGACTGCCATCGACCTGTCCCTCTCATCCACTAAATCACAACTTATTAAATTCACCAGAAAAACACTCTCCACTGCCCCTAAAATCTTAGTGAATAACCACCCTCTCTTGGGTGACTCCCGGCTTTCTTGGAAACAACATCTTCAGGAAACTAGAGCAGAGTGAAACATTTAAATATTATCAAAACACTTTCCCACTACCAATGGGGCGCTAGCGAATATACACTATTAAAAGTATATAGGTCTCTTATTCGCTCTAAATTCGATTACGGCAGTTTTTGCATTTTACATTTGCATTTTATTTATTTGTATTGATTTTAGATTCAGAAAAACAAGACTTGGGCGTCATTCACACCTTCGGATTTAGCCAAAAAGATGAGCTCCCCACTGAAATGAAAAATTGCAAATGTTTTATTAAATTCTCAAGACGAAAATATCCCTGGTAAGAAAATTAAGCAAGTGTTTTGTAAAAAAAAATTTAAAATTTTAATTTAAGGGCCTTCAACAATCAATAAAGAAACACCAACAAAAAGCTCTCTAAGAAGACCTGCAGTAGTGGTGAAATCCCTAACTTCTTCAGATATAGCTGCAAAGTATAACAAATTATTGGACTGTCGTGTAGAAATAGTTGCATATGAAAAAAAGGAATTGGAGCAAAGACTGCAACATAATAGTATCAAACATGAAAAAGAAATGTTGCTCTTAGATGTTCAACTTGAAATCGAAAGAGAAAAGTTAAAAAGAATTAAGAGATCTGATTATCTGATAGAAAATAGTAAAAAATAGTAAAAGTAAATGTATTGTTTTTTTTTGAATAAAAGTGTATTTAGCTATATAGTATTTTTTTAACACTATATTATCAATTCATAACCTCACCTCCAAGAAGTGTGATATTGATAGCACGGGTGAACTCTGGTAAACCTGAGCAACCCTACTGGAGATTGGGTAACCAACCCCAGTGGAAGGTAGGGTCAGGGCAGACAAGGAAGGGAGAAATGGTCCTCCGAAAAGGGGGTTGGGCTGTGGGTCAACACCCTGCTCCCGTAGAAAAATTTATGTTGCGGAAAATTCAAAGCAATCAATCGGACAGTGTTTTTGTCGACGACTTTGCAAACAAAATAAAGCTAATGATATCGGTTTATTAACTTGGAATGTTCGTACGCTTTATAGTGCTGGGAAGCTAAGAATTCTATCAAGAACACTAAATGAGTACTCAGCTGACATCATAGCACTTCAAGAAGTCAGGTGGACAGGTAGTGGCAACCTGGAGAAAAAGGACTGTACTCTATACTACAGCGGACATAAGAACAGTCATACTTTTGGCGTGGGGTTTATCCTGAACAAACAAATGAAATCAACGTTCATAGCTTTCGACCCAATAAGTCCAAGGATATGTAGAATACGAATAAGAGGCAGGTTCTTCAACTACAGTATTATCAACATCCATGCACAAAATCCACTAAATATAATACGGAGGTGCTAAAATCTGAAACCACTAGAGATAATTACATGAAAATCTTAAACGAAGCGTTGCCAAAAATCGAAGAAAATTTAAGCTTCTAGTTCTAGCTTCTAAATTCTAGCTTCTAGAGGACATTGGACTAAATGTAAAGAAGCTATGCACACAGTTGCTTTAAAATATAACAAAGATTGGTTCGATGAAGAGTGTAGATCTATTAACCAACAAAAAAATTAAGCATACACGCGACTTCAGCAGCGCAGATTAACGAGATTAACTCTGGAAGAATATGAAAATCTAAGAAGAGAAGAAAAAAGAAAGAACAATACGAAAATATCCTAAACAAGATTATTAACCACCACATTGGAAAAGACTCACGAAAATTCCATCAACAAATAAATAGCTGTACAATTGTCGGATATGCAGGTGATATCGTAATCATAACTAGGTCCACACAGTCTCTGACCGAAGCATTCCAGTCGTTGAGGGCATCTGCATTGAGAATGGAACTAAATATAAATGTTCAAAAGATCAAATATATGTGTTGCACCAGGTCAAACAACCCGACACCTACAAGAATAATAATTGACGATCTAGAACTGGAAGGTATTGACACCTTCATATACCTAGGCTCGCTGTTGACTAAAGATAACAACATCAGCGAAGAAATTAAAAGAAGAATAGTGTTACTATGGCTTGAGAAGACAGATGGCCTCAAAGCTACCTAGAAAAATTAAAGTGACTGTCTATGAAACACTAATAAGACCAGTGTTAACTTAAGGATCAGAAACGTGGTCACTTACAAAGAATGAGCAAGAACTGTTTAAACCATTCGAGCGAAAAATCCTAAGAAGGATATATGCAGGAATCAAAGAGCAAGGTTTGTGGCGCAGGCGATACAACTTTAAGTTGTATAGAAGTTTTGGGGAACCTGACGTTGTAAAAGTAATTAAGGTAGCATGCCTTAGATGGACAGGACACGTAATCAGGCGAGAGGAAGATGCCACAGTCAGAAAAGTTTTTGACCGAAGAGGGCCAATAGGACAACGAGCCAGAAGAAGACCGAGACTTGGGTATCTAGACAACCTAGAGGATGATATAAAATCCACTGGAGTCAGAAGATGGAGAAGAGTTGCCAGTGACAGCGGTGAATGGATTGTTCTGAAGAAGGCTATGGCTCATAAAGAGCTCTGATGCCACTGATGATGATATATTATCTAATCAAATTAGTTAACACACTGTAAATATACATAAAAGTATTGATATGTTTCAGAGAAAGTTCAGAAGTATATACTAGGTATTAATTGGAAGAGCCATAACAACAAAAAAAATTAAAAATAGCTGTTACAGTTTTTTTATGAACATATCTTTATTTACAAATAGGTATGCCTAATATATAAATAAAACTTAAATAAACGCACAATAAAATGGTATCACTGAATATTAAAGTTGTTCATAAAAGGTTACTATTCCTGTTAAAAATGGAAACTACATAGATCAAATCATATTCAAATAAATTGAAATGTTCCTAAACGCATTGCTATTTTAGCTATAAGTTAGCAAAATATCCATTAATTAGTTAGTGTCTGTAACCTTCATTTTCTACACCTTGTTCAGGAATGTCTTGCATTTGACCCATATTGATAAGGTAATTTAATTCCTCTTCATCTATATCAAATGGGTTTGGGTTCATGCATATCTTTTGCAATGTTGTGTAAGACTGCTGTGGCAGGTATGATAGCAAAGATCGTGTACATTTTTAATCGAAGCCCATATGCCAACACAGGAAATCGACGTTTCCAAACTCCTATCGAACACTCCACTTTGTTCCGTGTTCGAATAAGAGACTCATTATATAGAGCCTGTGCTCTGTTTATGGGGTTCGCCAATGGGATAAGAAAATAATTTCTTACTGCATATCCACTGTCACCTGAAATAAAATAAACAAAGTATAAATAAATAACATAGTTTTGTAAAACCATTTATAAATATGATAATAAAACAGGTATATCACTTGTACTGGTACAAAAATCAGAGAGGTAATGTGAGATTTTCATTGCAATATTGAACTTACCCAATAAAACACAATTTGGAAAAGACCCCTCTTCAAATTTACGTCGAATTCTGCAATTATTAAAAATAGTATTATCGTGGACCGAAGTTGGTCATCTTCCAACAACACCCAAAAATTTTAGGGATGCTTCACATATCACCTGAACGTTTATAGAAAAATATCCTTTTCTATTCCTATAAATTTCAGCATCATCACCTCCTACAAATTTGATTATTTTAATCTTGAGTTACCAAAAATATTTTTTTGTGTGTAGAAAAAATGTACAGTAGTTTACCTGGTGATTGAAGTTTGACATGAGTGCCATAAACCACACCGATCACTCGAGGAAATGCTGCTCTCTCATAGAATTCTGTATGAATTTTAAGTCTTTCTTCAGGTGTTGGCATTTTTACAAAGTCTCTACAAAGTTGTGCCAATATTATAGAAACTCGTTCTATTATTCGACTAGTTGTTGATTCATGCATCCCCATAAAGTCTGCAACAGCAGCCAAGTGCCCCGAACTTGCATAGAATCTTAGGGTTGCTAGCAGCTGATTTATACACTACTGTTCCTAAAAAAACAATTGTCAGTTTCTTTTTCTAAATTAAATATCATATTAAAGTCCCTTATTCAAATTTAATATTCACCAAAAAGCAATCGTTGTATGCTTAATACTTACAAGTCATGGGGGTATTCTAGTCGATCTTGCGTTATTTCCAAAAGCCGATGAACAGTTGCTTTCATTAGTCTGAACCTTTTAAAAAATGTTAATTCATCCATAACATGGAAATAATTTGACCTTTCATAAATTCGTCTTGGAAAGCCAAAATCTACTATTTCCAAAATATCTAAATCGTCTTCTATAAAAATCTTTTCTTCCAATTCCAAATCCATGATTTTATTAAAAATTACCACCGTGACACCACCACTTTAATTAGTGTAAACACACAAAAAGTATGGTTAGGTTTTTAAGATTAACATTAAACTCTATTTTAATCCACAGAATTTCCAGGATTTAATTTAACAGTTAGTTAAGGTAATTAAACCTGGTTTATGTGACGGTGCAAGATAATCATGTAACTAAAACTTAGTTTATTACTTAAACCATTATTGTTTAGTATGACGGTGCAAGGTGCATAGTACATACCCCCTACAATTCATTGTCGCGTTGGTTTTTCATCTTGTGTTGCTTGTTGTTGGTGTTGTTTGGCATCCTGTTATAGGCTTTTACCTCTTCAGGATGTGGTTTTTCCTTTTTTCTGGTGTTGGCTGTCTCTGTGTTTTCTGTTGGTCCACTGGTGGTGCTGAGCCAGGACAATCAGTGGCGAAAGGCTTTAGGTCGGTTCTTTTCAGAATTGTTTGTCTAAAAAATTAGTATATTAGTGTTATTAGAATTAGTAAATATAGAAATGAGATATTAATAATGTATGAATACATGCATTAATATATTATTATGTAATTAGTAAATATGTTAACTTGTGATACGCGGCGCGAGAGGGCAGCTGCGGCTGTATCCTCACAATAGACAGGTATCATTTGCAAGTGGGATCGGGAAACCGCAGAAAACCGATCCCCCCTGTCTAGACAAGCTCGAAGTAAGCAATTTAGCTAGGAATGCGACGGTAGTAGAGGGGAGTTGCCTCCTTAATGTCAATGTATTCATCAGGAAGTTCGTTACTGGCGAGTTCCAGTAAAATGGCAGGTAGGTGTGGGATTTTAGGTTTAGGGTGTCTGATGAATAAATTGCCGCGGGATGAGCAGACAGTTTTTAGAGTGGGTTGGGCTCTGAGGTTTTGGCCCTGGATTGTGCGTATAGTGTAACTTCTGCTCAGAGAGTGTAGTCTCTCATTTATGGGCTGGATATTAGATAGTTGATGAATAAGGGCGGAAGGATAGTCGCAACGTTTACCATTTACTCTACGCAGAATCGTCCTCTCTATTCTAAGTAAATTTTCTTTAACAGCGTTCGGCATCGTAGCATAAATATTTGATCTGTATTCAAAAATAGGTCTTATGAAAGCTTTATAAGTGAAAATTAGTGTACGAGGATGTGCGGCCCCGAAATTACATCTCAAACTATTGAGGAGACCAAGTCTGCTCCTGGCCTTGTTACAGGCTATGTTCAGATCAGTCCTCCAGTTCAGTGTTCGGGTGAACACCACACCAAGGTACTCAATCTGATCACGGAGCTGAAGTCGGTCTCCCCAAAGTGTGAGATAGTTTCTTTTTTTGAAGGAGGCCGCACGTACGCTGTGTTTAGGGTGTCTGAAGAG